TCTATTATTATTACAATTCTTATACTTGCCACTGCTACTTTCTCACAAGAGACTTCGTATGGACATTGAAAACTGTGGCTAAATCAATTGTACGTACGATTGCCTCTAGATCTTGTCTCACATCATGTGGTAATTTCTTTACTTTCAAACTACTCTAACTTATATTAATGTGTCGAATTTGTTGATAGTTAATTATCTGCTATTTTTACTCCTCTTTCTAACCCTTTCAATCCGTCTTAAAGTATTAGTTTATGCTATAATATTTTAGTTAGGAGTCAAAGTATGATTGCACTTGGGTGTGATGATTTTGTTAATGTGATTATAGCATCCACCAATCTCGAGTGTATAACGGAACAATTAATTTTGAAGGCTAAAAATCAATTTTCACAAATGTCACAAAATATTTTTTTTTCAACTGGTAACAATCAACAGAGTTCTTACAAATTACAACCAAGAAATTAAATTCCAATAAGCACAACAGTATTATTGTATCTCTTTTTAAACAAGGATACTAGCAGCTCCATGTTAGGTCTGCATGTTGCTTAACAACAAGTTACCTTGACTCTTCCAACTCAAAAAATATCGAATACAAGAACGATAATAGGAAACATATCAAATAAGAGAATCAAAGGAACCTGTGAAACCTTATGTTTTTTTTTTAGCGAGGACTATTGATTGAGTGGAACGTCCAGTCTTCCGGATTATTTAGTCCAAAGTACCTCCCAGTGCTGAATATCTGGAGTTGCTAAAACCGGATATAGATCTGGTTGTTGCTCACTTGTTAGTCCCATGTTTTCATCAACACGGATTATTTCTTCTTGTTTGTGGGAATGCATATAATTATACTTTCTCAGTCTTTCCAATTCCACTGTTACTTCTTTCATAGTTGGCCTTTCGTCTCCGTTCAACTTTACACATCTCTTAACAAGCTCACCAAATGAACTAATTTGATCCAAACTCCCTTCCCTCAAAATCCTCGGCTCAATTATTTGGAGCAGTCGACTTTCCATCACCGACATTACAAAGTAAGTAGCCAGGTTTATCTCTTCTTCACTTTTTTCAGCAGACAAAGGTTTTCTCCCTGTGAGTAGCTCTGCCAAGACCACCCCAAAGCTATAAACGTCACTCTTCTCTCTCAATCGGCTTGTCTGAAAATACTTAGGATCAAGATAACCCAATGTACCACTGTACAAGAGTGGTTATTTGGGTTCGATCTAAAGGGACAAGTCTCGAAGCTCCAAAATCAGCTATTTTGGAAGTGTAATACTCATCCAACAATATATTGGGTGATTTAACATCTCTGTGGATAATCGGCATCCCTGCCGCAGAATGAAGATACGCAAGTGCACCAGCCGCCTCAGCAATTCTTAGCCGATTATCCCAAGAAAACCAGGGCATTTCCCCACTGTTGTTGATATGGTGAAGTAAGGTACCGTTTGAGACATATTCGTACACTAACAAAGGTACTTCAGTCTCCAAACAACACCCCATTAGTTTTACAACATTTCTGTGGTTAATCTGAGTCAGAATGACCACCTCATTGATGAATAGCTCAATTTGACCCTGATTCACTATTCTGAATTTCTTGATTGCAACAACACTTTTATCGCTCAGAATCCCTTTGTAAACTGTTCCATAACCCCCTCGACCAAGGATGCGATCTTCTGAATAATTATTGGTTGCCTTCTCAAGCTCATCGGATGAAAATATTTTAGTTGATTCTACACTTCCTTCATTGGAAGAAAGTTGTTGCTTCAATAACAAACCACCATTTTGCTGGAAGAATTTATTTTTAACTTTTAAGAGTTTCCTCTTCTTGATGGTCAAATAAATCCAGGTAATGCAAATTATCATAGCTAATAAAGCACTGCAACCTGGAAATTCAAAACCAAAGAGTGGTTCATTATGGAAACATTTTGATTCAGTCATTTTCTTATATTTATCTATCATTCAACACAACTAAAAGAAATGGAATAGACCTTGGTATAAATTCATTGGTAAGTACCTATTAAGATCGTCTGCGTTGAGAAGTTTCTATCTTCTTTAACACATCCACGACTATCTTTTCGGCCATCACCTTTGAAGCCATGTCTACATGAACACCCATAAATCCATTTTTTTTTTTTTTTTTTTATTTTTTATTTTTTTTTTTTATTATTTTTTTTTTTTTATTTTTTTTTTTTTTTAACATAGAGTAAAAACGTAAAGACCATTGATAGAACTTTTAGCCAACAACTCAAAATCGTGAACACATAATTCAATTCTAACTCGCCCCCCAAACCTCAGGCTATTATACCCCTCAGAAAAATGCGCTCAAGCTTAATCAGAAAGGATTCGAAAGGCTATCCACACAAGTTGCAAAAACGCAGTCGGAAGGTTCATCTATAATTAGCCGGTGATCCATAATTTCAATTTTAAAATCAACTAGCCCATCTACTAATTCATTAATTGCTTTGCTTCAATAGAACCCGGAAATGCAAATTACACTCGATCCTAAATGAAATGCATGTGACAAACATAACACAATTACGGAAATCGAAATACATAAACGAAACTAAATTATATGATATGCATGCAAAAGACCAAATCAAAATAAGATAAATAAAATAAAATAAAAACAAAGTCTAGCAAAGATACATCGTAAACGAAATATCAATCCAACGACTTATCCCAAAACAACGAACTAAAAACAAAAACAAAAACAAAAAGGTTCAACAAACACCACCCTCAAACTCAAATTTTAGCATAGTCCCTATGCTCAAAAGCAGAATAATAAATAAAAGGGAAAGAATACACAACGTCCCTTAATTGTTTAGGTCCTCCTCGTCGTCGCTCTCTATGACTCGTCTCGCCCGAGAGCTCTCGGGCCTATCCACAGCTGCAGCATGTCGTGGGAAAGGGAGGGGTTCTGCGATATCTGTGGTGTCGCACCCCATTTTGCTGGTAAGTGCTCGCAACATTTTCCCGATGAATGTCAGGTGTGTTTCGACTGCCTCCTTCCACTCTCGGTCCCCGTCGCCAATCTCTTGAACTGGTTGCTTTCCTTTTTGGCGCGGTTGAGCAGCTCGTCTTGGAGCTGGAGCATTCTGGGCATCTCCCTCGTCGTCATCGCCTCCCATACCTGGATTGTCCGGCCCCACAGCGTCCTTGTACGAAAAAAACATCTTTGATAGGCAGTATTTTATGTAGAATGTTTCAGTTGGTATTTTATGTAGACGATGTTTAATTTATGTACTGGACTGATCTTGGTTTATAATAGTTGTTCATTAATAGTTGTATGCTTTCTTTGTTGCTGAAAGCACAAACGTGCGTTGTTGTGTAAAGGCATACGTAAAAGGAAGCTGAAAAACAACTATATGTTATGTAATGAACTATTTTCACAGTTCTCATATAATTACAAAAATGTAATGTCAGTTATATATGAACGTATGCTATACCGGATCTTCATCTATACTTTATGGGAACATAAACTATGAATAGAACTATTATCTAAAAAAAAATAGTTGAATAATTTGTACACTGAACACCATATGTTGAAAACATCGCACAAAACAAAGTAAGTCTAGAAGATCGCTTCAAAGCAACCAAACCACCGTACTTCACAAAAATATTAACACTGTTATCCATCTACAACAAACATAATATTTAAATGAAAAACACAGTTAATATAGAATATGCATTAAACAACTATTATTACTTAGTGCATAAACAACTATAATTAAACGACTATAAAAAAACAACTATAATATTAAACAAAATGCAAACATGTTACTGCAAAACAATAGTCCAACTACTTAAATCATATATTCGAACTGTTTAATCCAACTACTAAATCAATGTACGTATAAGATTGTCGATATAAAATACAAAATCAACTACAATTAAAAAATAAAATTTATAAAAATTCCACCCGCATGCGGCAAGTTTTCTTATTATGATTTCCAACTATGTTGCATATGGTACATTTCATCTTGCGAGGCAAACGCTCACCCCTAGATAAGATCCTCTTCCTTTTCGGTCTGCCACGCTGAGGACGGTAATCTGGAGGTCCAACGATAGCAGCTTCAGGGTCAAGAGGAGGTTTAACAAATGGAAAAATAGGTGCAGCATATGTCTGTCTGAATGTTGAAGTATGAAAAACCTTATCAATAAGGTCATACCTTCCCTTCATTTTTAGAAAAATAATACCAGCAGCATGAAAACATGGCAGCCCCGTAATCTGCCACTGCCTACATGAGCACGTCTTCTCCCGAACATCTATAATCGCAGTTGGATCCGAGTACATTTCCCACACAAATTCAGAAGCTTGCTTAACTAACCAAGGCCTCGCTTTATCAACTAGATCTTTCATAATTTTATCAATTTTAAATGTTAACACAGTGTGCCAATTAGTTCCCTTAATAAGCCTGTCACAAAGTTGTTCCATTATCTTACTTCGAATACCATCAATCAAATTAGTCACTGGCAAAAAACGTTCATCCATTACTTGCGCATTCCAAGATTCAGAACCATTTGACGTCATCTGGCCATACCTTGGTCCCTCAAAATAAGCGTTCGACCACTTTTCCTTTGGAATATCAGCTAGAAAATTGCGTGCTCTCCCACCACCAGTTCTTTTGAATTTCTCCAAGCATCTTTCAAACTCAGGTTTTGTGGCAGCATAAGCGCAATCTCGAAATTGCCTCACCACAGCTTTACGATAAATCTTGGACTCACCCCTAAATCGATCTTTCAAATTTCCCTTCAAGTGCTTGTAGCAGTAAGCATGAAGACAATGTGGAAACACATTCTGAACCCCAACCAAAATCCCATGATTACGATCTGAGACAAACGTAAAAACCCTATCCATTCCAATAGCAACTTTCAAGTGATTTAGAAACCATGACCAATTACAATCGGTTTCTTCATCCACAATTGCAAATGCTATTGGAAACAAACCTGGATGTGAAAAATGATATTAAATACTGATTTGTATGAAAACAACTATTATGTAGACAACTATTATGTAGACAACTATTATGTAGACAACTATTTATGAAATTAACTATCGTCAAACCAACTATACTCTAATAATCAAAAAAAAACATACACTGTACAACTTACGTTGGTCGCCGTCTTTTCCGACAGCGCTAAGTAACATGCCCTTGTGTTTGCCCTTCAAAAAGGTGCCATCAAGCATGACAACAGGACGACAGAACCTGAAACCCTCAATACAAGCTGCAAATGCAAAGAAACAACGGCGAAAATTCTTCTTCACATCATCAATTTCCAAGTGAAATAAACTACCTGGATTTGTCCGCTCCGCTTCTTCAAAATATGACGGAATAAATGAGTACGAGCTGCTATGATCGCCAAATATTAATGCCCTACCTGCGTCAGTCGATCTCCACGCTAAGTAATAGCTAATGTCAACTCCAAACTTGTCTCTCACCTGCGTAATTATTTCACGAGGTCGGGTAGCTGGCCTTGATCGAATCTCACCCGCAATCAAGTCAATAATAATAGCTGCACTTAATCTCTTCTTATTCGCAGTCCCAAAAAACATACCGCACGTATGATGTTTATCGTACGTCCGAATATAACAAAACTTGCTATATTTGTCAACAGAAGCGTGTATCCTCCAGCTGCATTGTTTTTCATGTTTGTACTTACACACCGCCGTCACCCTATATGACTCGTTCTTGATATACTCGTACTCAAATCCCATTTCAATTGAAAATTTAATAAGCGCCTTTCTGAAATCGGCAACACCACCTTCAAAAACCTGACCTACGTCTTTTATCAAATAAATCCAATCAGCACTCAACAACTTCTTGCCCTCGACCACCGCAGCCACGCTTTCTAAATCACGATCTTCCGTATCCTCACCATCTTTGTCATATCCGATCATTGGCAGGGGCATCTGTGTGTCGGCATGCCGAATTGGTGCGTCCACATGTTGAATCGGTCGAGTCACAATGCCAGCTACACCCTTCACCTCGATATTTATACGCGCCAAAGACAACTCGCGCAACAATGCAAACATGGATACCAAGTCTTCATCATCCGCAATAATGCATTCTCCACAATCAGCCACCATATAAGTCATGCTTATACTAGATGCATTCAGACATTGCCATTTCGAACACACAAAATCAACCAATGCTTGGAAAGTGAGTCCAGAAGATCTCTTCAAAGCAACCAAACCACCGTACTTCACAAAAATATTAACACTGTTATCCATCTACAGCAAACATAATATTTAAATGAAAACACAGTTAACATATAATATGCATTAAACAACTATTATTACTTACTGCATAAACGACTATAATTAAACGACTATAAGTAAATCAACTATAATAGTAAACGAATTGCAAACATGTTACTGCAAAAGCAATTGTCGTGTAATCTGCATATCACGACTATAAATTCTGAACATTCTCAACACAAAAAAAAAACTCCAGCATACATCCATAACTGTTAATTCATAGTCCGTACGCTATCGTTTGTACAACAACGAAACAACAATTCGCATATATGAAATCAATTAGAAGCCACTTTCAGCAATTACATCAGATTCACCATATATATGAATCCAAGTTTGATGCATCGAATCAGCAATAAAACACAATTGCGTTGCAAAAAATAAAAATAAAAAAAACTCGCCTTCTTCAATTACATTCGCCGACTCTCTGAACGGAACGAGATATGAATCTCAACACGCGCCTTTGGAACAGTTCAAAAATTAACACGATGTTTGAGAGAGATGAGGCGGTTATGGAATATGCCGATATATCGTGATCTCAAAGATTTTCTTCAAATCACGTGTTTAAAATAAATTAATTACACAAGGGTGAAAATGTAAATATCAATTATGAAATTATTCATAATAAATCGAATTTAATACATGGGGGGGTTTCACTAATTATGAAAAGGGGGTTAAACCCACCCTAATATATGTAAATGATGTGGGGGGGTTTCACTAATTATCCCATGAAATTATTCATAATAAATCGAATTTAATACATGGGGGGGTTTCACTAATTATGAAAAGGGGGTTAAACCCACCCTAATATATGTAAATGATGTGGGGGGGTTTCACTAATTATCCCTATAATTAATGTATACCCGATTAAATAAGTTATTGATTTTGTTTTTAGAAATTATTAAATAGTGATTGCACTCAAGTGTAACTATTTTTTTTTCATTTTTGACAAAATATGGAGATCAATAATTGTGTTTTTTTTTGTGATGGGAATGGTAACCTACTACTACGAAGGAACATGTTATGAGTTGTACTAAAATTAATTTGGAAATAAATTAGTACGAATTATCAATTGCCTTATGCATAATTTATTTATATATATATGAACATATTATTTCAAAAAAAGCTCAGACTATAATAACTGAGTTGGGTATGTCACGGTTGTTGTATTATATTATATTAGAAGATTCTGATGTATAGAAGTTATTGAATTTCCTTTGTTATGTTATCAGTAATTAATCGACTAATGAAGCCAAATTATCTTTCGTTGAACTAATGAAATGTCGTACTGATGTTGATCTGTGTTGTTTAGAAAAGGACTTGTGATGAGTCGGTTTAAAAAAAGTAAATGCTCCCTCGAATATTCTCCAGTTGACTATGATTCTTTCACTTCCACTTGCATATAATATGAAATCGTGCTATACAATTTGGCAATTTACATTAGTTTATGAATTAAATAGAGACTTTTTTTTTGCCATTTGTTTTTATTCCATTATATATATACTTATGAAAGTACAAGGGGACCTCATTAAAATATTTTTAATTTATTTTTTGTGAATCATGATTATAAGAAATGAACTAGAGAAAAGGAAGATGGATGACCTTGTTCTGGGGTGTGAAGAGGTGTCCTTGGTTAAAATACTATATATCCTTATACCAAACTAAAAGTTATGATCCTTCCATGAATTGAAAAATAAATTAATCATTCTTAGTTTGACAAGGCCTTAATCACCAACTAAGTCAAAGTATTCTCATTTTATGCAATTTCAAACAATTGTGAAACTTAACAATCTCTTCCTATAATGTTCACACATATTTTTATAAATCAAGAAACTAATAATCACGAGAGTTACAACCAAGAAAGTTCAATAACCACAATATGAAATGTACAGTATTACCAAACACGAGCACAAATAGAGAAAATTGTTGAGCACGAAAAACCTTGTGTACTTTCGTCTAAGGAAGGGTTATTTCTTGCATGGAACAAACGGTTGTCCTGATTGATCCTTCCAGAGTATTTCAGGTTGTTGCTCACATGTTAATCGCATGTTTTCATCATGGATTATTTCTTCTTGTTCGTGGGAATATGAATTGTACTTTCTCAGCCTCTCCAATTCCATAGTCACTTCTTTCATTGTCGGCCTTTCGTCTCCGTTCAACTTTACACATCTCTTAACAAGCTCACCCACTGCACTGATTTGCTCCAAAATCCCTTCCCTCAATATCCTCGGCTCGATTATTTGAAACAATCGGTTTTCCTTCATAGACCCTACAGGCTACAAAGTACATAGCCAGGTTTATATCTTCTTCACTTTTTCCAATAAACAAAGCTTTTTTGCCGGTGAGGATCTCAGCCAAGCAGCCAAGACGACTCCGAAACTATAAACATCACTTTTCTCTCTCAATCGGTTTGAAAAAAAATATTCAGGATCAAGATAACCCAAAGTTCCCTGTACAAGAGTGGTGACTTGTGATTTACCAATAGGCACCAATCTTGATGCTCCAAAATCCGTTATTTTGGCTGTATAATACTCATCCAACAATATATATTGGCCGACTTAATATCTCTGTGGATAATCGGCATTCCTTCTGTGGAATGAAGATATGCAAGTGCACCGGCCGCCTCTGTGGCAATCCTCAGCCGATTTGCCCAAGAGAACCATGGTATTTCCCCACTGTTGTGGATATGGTGAAATAGGGTGTTGTTTGAGATGTATTCATATACTAACAGAGGTATTTCAGCTTCCAAACAACATCCAATTAGTTTGACCACATTTATGTGGTTGATATGAGTCAGAATAACCACCTCATTGATGAAAACCTCTATTTGAGTCGGATCCATATTTCTTGATTTCTTGATTGCCACAACACGTTTGTCGCTCAAAATTCCTTTGTAAACCGTTCCGTAACCTCCTTGTCCAAGAATGTGATCTTCTGAATAGTTGTTGGTGGCCTTTTCGAGCTCTTTGGCAGAAAATATTGTCTGTTCTTTACTACCCTCGTTGCAAAAAAGAAGTTGTTTCAATAATGATCCACCATTTAGGTGGAAGTATTTTTCTCTTAGTTTGATGAGTTTCCACTTCTGGATGGCGAAGTATGTCCATGTAATGCCAATTATCACGGCCAAGAAGCCGAAACCGAAACCTGAAAATTCACAATTTGACACGATAGATATCAAACTAAGTTAACCATATTAAAGCAATTGGAATTCTTGTGATATCAGTAACACTCCATTGATCATATTATAGGCATTCACCTAGGCAGCTAGGCATATACAATTAATACAAATAATGGTACATATCACAAAATTCTAAGAGTACTTCGATATTGGGAGGTTCATCTGTGATATTCTCAAAATACAGCTAAACATTTATAAAGGCGTTTAATGAAAACTATGTCGAGAAATGTTTTGCTTGCTAGCGTTAGAGAAATACAATGGTTCTGTGTCGAAAATTTGTTTAAGCCTACGATTAAGATATTTTCTTTTTGGTGCTGATTTCCATTAGTACAAGTCTGAAATTTTATTTCAATCTGATATTCTAGAGTATACAGTTGTGTTGTGACATATTATTTGAATTTTATCATTTACAATTACCTAATGAGAAATTCAGCGCTGAGATTGGCTTAAAGCAACCATTGCCATCTTTTGTGGCATTGCCTAAGAAGCTAGGATGACAAGAACAACTATAAAAACCGTCAGTTTTACTAGTGCATACTCCTTCCGGATGACATGGACTATTCTCGCAGTGATTTGTGACTGAAATTCAGAAATAAAGATCATTATAGTCGGCTCATCAAACTTGAAAAAATAAAAACATTCTATCTCGACAAATATCTCAAAAGATCTAACCTTTGCAGCCTGGCTCAAGATATGGATTGCCCTCATATCCATCAATGCAGCTGCATCGATATCCACCAAGATTGGTGTTAGAATCAACGCAATCACTATTATTTTGACACGCAAAATCATAGGATTGTTTAGCCTCACTGCAAGTAGTATTCCCAATAACCCAATCCAGGAGTATCGGAACATTCTGGATGGTTCTGTTCATAAAGGTCTCGTTATTGAGGTCAGAGGAATGAAATGTGAAGCTATCATGCTCTGCAAGAAAGGCATAACCACAAGGGTCAGAGGACCACAAACTAGTGTGTTTATTAATGCTACCTAGAGAAGCAGTAAAACCCGTTAGGCCATTCGGTATTGAAGTCTGGCAACAACCGGTGCCGGTACAATAACCATCAAGAACATCATTTTCTGCATAGCAAGTCGAAGCACAACCACTGGAGAAATTAATCCGACCTGTTCCTGCTATTACAGCTAGATCGTCACATCCGATGGTTGTGAACTTATTTGCATCAGATAAGCTAAAATATTGAGGAAATTGGATTTCGATTTTCTCTTCCTTGGTCGATTCGCCGAGCTCGTTGTAGCATCTGACAGCCACCTGGTTCTTGATCCTTATATGAGAATCTGTTATATCAATAATTTCAAGATTTCCTTTTGCAATAAAGGGCTTTGGAGGGTTGAAAGAAGTATCGCATTTGATACTGAATGAAGGTTGTATAGAACATTCTGAATTTATGCCTATGCCGAATGGATAAGGAACGATTAAGTTCCCACACCCGCTTTCACAACCAGGTTTAGTTATGTTAAGACCTTTTGTGATAGTTGTGGGAGTTCTCCTTGTGTTGGTCTCGTTGCAATCTGTCGACGCCCATTCGACCAATACGAAAGGGAAGAGAAGAGAACACAAGTGAATTTTAATTAGCATTGTTTTGGTGATATGCTTTTGAGATAATATGCATTCACAATAGTGATCTTCACAATGGGCAGCCATACATACATATATAAACATACACACAGTTGTAATATATATATTGGAACCGGATTGAAGAAGAATTATTCCACTAGTTAGCTTGTTCTTTTTCCCTAATTAAACACCAAGTGTGGAAAAGTATTCCAAGTTACTTATTTGACTATTCATATTATTTTGAGTCACTGTTATTTGTTCCTTTATCAACAATTTGTTTTTGTCCTTCGTCGATACAATTTGTTGTCAACTTACACCGGACCCATTCGGAGAATTTTTAATTCAGAAACTCTAAAGAGTGTTTGTATGGAGTATTTAGTTTCTTAAACAGAGTCGTTATAAGTCGTTTTTTGTTTATAATAAACACAGGTCAGTCCATTAGTACGACTTTTTCAATGAGAAACTCTTTCGCATAGGTAAAGTCTTACCTATCAATAACAACTCAGTTTATATATAGTTTACAACAATTGTGAGTTTATGATGTTACACACCTCAGTTTATAATATATATAGTACGAATTCTTGTGATAGTTTCACATAAAAACGAAGTATATATGCATAAGATAATTGATATACATTAGTTGGGATTGATTTATTTCTTGACCTGATTTTAAACATCAAACACGGACCCCTCGAGAGGGCAACTAGCTAGATTAACCATCGGATTTCACGAAAGTGTCCACTTATACGAACAAATTGCCGTTTCTTAAATATTATTTTCTAGTGATTTCTGTAGTAAAAACTTGATCGAAAAAAAATCTAACTTTTAGCACTCTAATTAAAATTGTAGCTTCCAGCTGCAAAATAAATGTACGTTGCAAATTGCAATGGAACTGGAAATGTGGTTTTCGTAGCGTACTCGTGTCTATACATGTAAGAATGTAAATCCCCTAATTTTGAGTGAAATCATAATTAATATTTTTGAGTATTATCCTGTTTAATTTGTTTTAATTCTTTTTTTAGTATAATCCAATTTAATTTGTGATACGTGCACTTGCGTGTTAGGTATTTAGCCCAACAAGTATAATCCAGTTTAATCGGCAATTGAAAAAATAATGAGCCACAGGCCAACAGGATAAATCCATGATCGGGCATAGTCCCTTTTAAAGAGGCATAACTAAGTTAAGGCCCAGTAGAACAAACTCATACTACTCGAGCTATATAATATTAGCACCACATCCACGTGTCAAATACTCCTCAAGCTCGTAAACGCAGCGTATGAATACCAACTAAACAAACATAGTAGAACTACCACTGCTCTTCATAATTCAGGTGAACGCAACCAATTTAGCTATAAATGATCCCAAATTTTTTTTTTCGTCTATTAGGATGTGTTGCAAGTGAGAATAACGCAATGAAAGCAAAACCAGAAGATTAACCATTGAAGATGCATAGTGAAAGTTATTTCTTGGAGATGCATCGTGAAATTGAGTCGTCCGATTCTCCAAGGAAGCTAGGCTCTTATACGGAAAGGATGCTCTCGCAAACAATGGAGCTTTACGCAACTTTTGATATCGACTATGACCGACCGAACTTAGCTTGTTGAAGACACTACTACAACCACCGATGCATTTTCAAGACTAAAACGAGGGCTTTGACTACAATCTCGGATTATTTTGATACAAATATCGCAAGTGGTATTTTAACGAGATGACATTTCAAGATTCTCCTTCTAGTGGCTCGGATTGATCGCATGCGATAGACGGCATAGTGTGCCTCGAGTTTAAAGGGACTTGAGAGGCATTTTTCATGTATTCTGTTGGTTAACGGAATGGGGAAGAAGAATAAGTATTCGTTAATGAAGTCAAAGCTTGTTGACAAGCCTATGGGCCCCACTTTGACTACAATGGTACAACCTAGAGAGACATTGTGGAGTATATATATCTTCTCGTGTTTATGGGACGGGTGATAAATGTAAGGAATTGGCGGAGCTTAATCCGCACATTAGGAATCCGAATGTTATTTTTCCTAACGAGACTATTAAATTACTCTAGATTGGTAATCGATTCTTCATGTTCGGGTGTTTGAGTGGTTGGTTTTAGATATTGGTGATTGGCATGATTGGTTTATTGAGATTATTTTGATGTTGCGACATAGAAGATAGATAGGAAAAAAGATTGTGAACAAGTTTATTTGATCAATGTAAATATAATGTGAGATCAATATAATGTGTTGTTGTGATGTTTCATCTCTAAATTGAACGAGTTGTGTGATTATTAGTAGACAATATTTGATGTCGATGATTAGATTTGGGTTGTTCGAAGTTAAATTATTTCAATGTTGTTAGTGAATGTTCATAACTTATGAGTTTGACATATGATGTTACTTGTTAGACGTTCCGTACTAACTTGCTATCACTAATTAGAGTAAGAGATCGTTAATTAAAGAGTAAATTCCACTTTTCCACTTGTATTTGGACTTCCTATCACTTTTCCCCCTTCTACTTTCGATTGAATCGATTTGCCCCATGTACTTGAAAAATTGTCTTAATGTGGTTCTCGCCGTTAATATTCAGACATTTGACCTTAACACTGTTTTGTCTAAGGTCTGAAAATTACAAAAAAACAACTCTTCCCAGTTTACATAAATATAAAAAAAAAAAAAAAAAAAAAAGAAAAAAAAAAAAAAATTGTGGCTGCCGTCGTAGACTATGCTTTCTCGTTGTTTTGAATTTTTTTTTTTAATTTTTTTTGTTTACTAATTTATTTTTTGTTTTTTAATAATTCTTTAAACTGGAATGGGTGGCGTTTTTCTAATTTCACAGATTAGAGCAAACAGTGTTAATGACAAATGTATTACAACTAACAACGAATGCCACATTGAGACAATTTTTTAAGTACAGAAGGGCAAGTCGAGTCAAAATACAAGAGAAAAAGTGGAATTTGCCCTTAATTAAAATGACTCTTATTTATGAGTGTACATTGGAACAAGGGTAATGATATACGCAGGCCAAATTAAACATTCAGGCATTTTTTTACCATGATTTTTTACCTTTTTACCATAACTATTTACCTTTTGTACTATTCCTACCCAATAAAAAAAAAAAAAAAAAAAAAAAAATTGTTGTGCTCGTGCAAAAACATGCGAGCATTTCAACAGTGCTCATCTGATTTCACACGAGCACTGTTGAACCGCTCGCATGTTTTTGCACGAGCATCTTATAATTCAAAAAAAAAAAAAAAAAAATTAATCTGCTCGTGTAAAAACACACGAGCGGTTGAAAAGCGTTCGTGTGAAATCAATTTAATAGTCCAGAGATTTGTAAAAGACTAAAATAGTCCATCACATTTTAATATATTCCAATTTCATCCTTTAATTTAGTATAACCTCAATTTAAGCCCGAATTCCACAAATTATTCAATTTTGACCAAAAACGCAATTTCGAGTACAATTTCGCCCGTCGTCGCCAATCTCCGGCGTTGATTTTTTTTGTCTTCCTCATTTTTCGCCGGTTTTCAGCGTTGACTTTTTCGATTTTTTTCTCCGGCTTCTGCCGCTCTTGACCGGCGGTCAACGCCGGTCTCTGACGGTGTTGACTTTTTTATTTTTATTTTTTTCTTCATCTTTTTGCCCCGTTTAAACATCAATATTGCTGTGGTTGGCAGTAATATTAACTATTACTGTTAAACACAGTAATTTTAACCATACTACAGTTTAACATAGTAATATTGTTGTATTAATCTCGAGCACAGTAATATCAACACAACAAAAGTCATTATTATTGAGTAATAGTATGTTGACCGTTCAACAAAGGTAAACATAATAAAAAACCAAAATAATTAATATTAATGTGGTTGACAATAATATTACTGTCAGCCACAGTAATATTACTATGTTAACAACAGTAATATTACGTCAATCACAGTACTATTGTTGTGTTTACAGTAATATTACAATAGTAGACAGTAATATTATTTCGTTAACCCGTCAACAACTCAAACAAAACAAAAAACAAAAAAAAATTAATATTGATGTGGTTGACAGTAGGATTATCGTATTTACAGTTATGTTACCGTCAACGGCAGTAATATAATTACGTTGACTTGTGAACGAATCAAACAAAAAAATCCAAAAAAATAATAATATTGTCGCTCAGCGTAATTGTACTGTCAACGATAGTACAATTACATAAATGTACTGTCAGCGACAGTACAATTATGTTAATGTACTGTCAACGTCAGTACAATTACTGTCCGCAACAGTATAATTATTGTTAATAACAGTACAAATACGGTAAACCAGCGGCAGAAAAAGCAGACAGAAAAAAAATCGAAAGAGTCAACGGCGAAAAACGGCGGCAACAAAATAATTTCAGAAAAAGAAAAGTGTAAAAAAAAAGTCAAAATTGATTTAAATTAGGGTTACAATTAAGAATTTGGTGTAAAGAGTTTGGGGTAATTTTGTCATATACATAATGTTTTCTTTATTTATAATACATATTGAAGGGATGAGCTTATTAGCGAAAGAAATATAACCCCTAAACCTAGAAAATAATAAAGATGGTTGGTTAGGGACTTATGCACAAAAACCCCTATAATAAATAATACAATATATTTATTAAACAATGATAATAGTTTCATAAATTAATAATTTACTAGTTACCCAATATCTCGCTAAATTAGTGAAAATTTTGCCACTCCAAATTATATATATATGGCTAATATCATTTATCCATACGCCTATAAACAAAGGAAAATATTCCGCAAGACACCCCCCGGTAGCAAATGTGGTTAAGAGAAAAACCCCTCCCAAAATAATTGGAGAAAACTCCCTTATGTATATTTTCAACAGAATGAATTTTTAATAATCCCCAAACTACTTTTAAAAGCCCATACATACCCCAGCCCTATTTTTCATCGTTCTTCATTCTCTCTTCCATTCTCTCTACTCACAGAAACACTAGAGAGGGGGGAGGACCATGTCTGAAGTCATCGACGACGGAGACGTGAAAACCATGGCAGCAGCGGAGACGATGGCAGCGGCGGCGGAGATAGAGAAGATGGTAGTGGCGACGAAGAGTGAAGACCATGTCTCAAGTCATCGACCCGGAAACTATGTCTTTT